TGTGAGCTCCAGTGAAGAGGGCGGTGGTCTGCTGGAAGTTTACTGAGGGGCTTCAGAGTCAGGAAACGCCCAACGTGACGTGGAAAAGGAGAGGCCCACAGACAGAGAGGAGGTGGAAATCAGAGATGATTCCTCCTCCTCCTCCTCCTCCTTCTCCTCCTCCTCCTCAACAGATAACGTCTGTAACCTGACACTGCTTTAAGATTTCTGCACAAAGAAAGTTTGAAAGTTTGAAACAGAAAAGTGCTTCAGCTCGTCCACAGGGATCTGCAAGTCTGAACACATCTCTGTGCAGAAGTCTTAGACCGTCCCTCATTCCTGCTGGTTTTACTTCAAATGAGCCAAACGTCCTTTTTTAAAGCAGTTTTCATCAGCAGCTCTTCATAAACATCTTTTTTATTTTATTTTATTTATTTATTGTGGTTGTAGTGGTGATAATTTGTCTCATATTAATCTGATAAAAACAAATGAGTCAGAAAACACACAACATGTGTTGACATAATGACTCATTTGTACACTTAGCAAAAAGTAAGTTCATTTTAATAAGCACACTTGAGTATAAGTTTAAAAATATCAAGTATACTAGGCACCATGTACTTGTACACTGCAAAAACTGTCCATCTGACCAAGTTTTAAATCTTATATCAGACAAAAAGTCTTTTTGATCTTGTTTTCAGACTGATTTACTAAACAAGAACAGATTGTGATTATTAAGATTCTTGAAATAAGAAAAAATTGAGTCAAATCAAGTATTTCAAGAATCTCACCAAGTAAAATGTTCTTACTCCACTGGCAGAAATGTTTGACTTAATTAGAGTCAAATTTTCAGACTAACAAGACAAATAATCTTACACATTCTGAAAACAAGATGATTATTCTTACACAATCGTTCTTGTTTAGTAAATCAGTCTCAAAACAAGATCAAAAAGACTTTTTGGCTGATATAAGGTTTTAAAACTTGGTAACGTGGACAGTTTTTGCAGTGCAGCTTCCCGCTTCTTTAATTGCATTTTTTCTTGGCAGAGTCACCGAACAAACTCATTTCATAATTTTACTAGTTTATCATATTTGTGGTACCCAACTCCAATGATTTAGTTTTTGAAAAAGAAAATCTAGTTTTAAAACTACAAAATTCCCCTAATTTTCACATTTTAATTGTAATGATATGAATGAAGCCATAAATAAACTTGTCCTGTTGCAAACAGAATGCCAGTCAGTGCTGCACACGGTCGAAAAGCGAAACAAAGGCAAAGCTAATTGTGCAAAATGAAATAAAGCTGGTTTGAAACACACCCACCACTCACCGACTGTTCACACGAGGCTGCTGGAAGCTGGAGAGGAAAGAAGCAGAAGAGTGAGGAGCTGCTTGACTTTAGCCTCTTTTAAAGACACGACACGCCCTTTTCCACGAACTGACCCCTCCTCCTGACTTAGTCCTTTTCCTGGTATTCTCTTCTTCTTTTGTTTGCTAAAACGCACACCCCTTTCTACACCAGCGAGACCAGTTCTCTGACTGTTTCCAGCCACATTTTAGAGGAGCGGTGACCGGGTTCAGAGAAGTGAGCGTGGTTCGGTTGGATTAGGAGTTGATGGAGGGAACATGTGTGTCAGGTGTTGCTGTGCAGTGATTAGCAGGTGACAGGTGTTCATTAGAGCCTGTGTGGGAGGAGTGCACTGACTGGGATCCTTTATGACTGTCTGCCTGGAGGAGGGTCAGAAACCTCCCTTCTCTGACACACCCTCCCTCCACCACATCCCTGTTTTACATTTCTTCTTCCAAGCAGCCATTTTTTTTAAATCTTTGAAAATATCGTCTTAATCAACAGTTCTCCAAACTTTTACAAGTTTTTCTTTAGGTTTTGGCTCCATTTTTAGTAATATTTAGACAAAAAATATTATTCCACGTTGATGCACAAGATTGATTTTATTGTTTTTTCACTTTCACGCAAGTGAGAAACACAATCATTAATAATCTACTGACCAAGTTGTGGTCGACGTTTGTGTCTCGGTTGTTGTGTTACTTTCTGTTTGTTTGCTCTTCAGGCCTCCTGTGAGAATCTGTGAAATCAACAAATGTTTGTGGCTGTGTGCAACAAGCTCGCGCTCGCAGCCCCAAAGGGCATTCCAAAGATGTTTACCAATGCTGACAAATCAAAGATCATTATGGGATGTAGCGCTGTGTTCAGAGCTGCCCAGACTGGGTGAGTAAAGTTACTCAAGAGAAAACACACAAATGCTTCAAACAACATTTGATGAACACAGTGACAGATTTGCAAATATTTCAACTGTTTGATAGTGATTCACTCCTTTTAGCTTCCAGCTATTGTTTCCTTATTTAGCTTCTAGCTAGTGTTTTTTATTTAGCTTCTAGCTAGTGTTTTCTTATTTAGCTTCTAGCTAGTGTTTTCTTATTTAGCTTCTAGCTAGTGTTTTCTTATTTAGCTTCTAGCTAGTGTTTCCTTATTTAGCTTCTAGCTAGTGTTTTGCTTCTTTTAGCTGTTCTGCTTATTTGAGTGGTCTTCAGTGAACTCACCCAACACTGATCTCTGTATTTTTTGCAGAAAATGATATTTCTCTAGTTTGTACTTCCTCAAGGCTGGATGTTTATAGGCACAAAACGTTTAAGAATGACAAATAAAATCACACATTTAGGCCTTTTTTAAAAAACCTATTCTGGTGAAAAGTTTTACAAAACAGTCCACTCCAGCTTGTGGATCTGCAAAGTAAAAGTATAGTTTGCAAGAACTGAAAACAATACTTTTAACTAGAGAAATTACATTTCCTGTGAGAATGCAGAGTAAATGTTTAACGCTGAGAGATTTTAGGAGGAAAAACAAAACAATTTAGCTAAAAAATAGTAAAAAATGCGAAATTAGCAGAAAAAAATGAAAGAGGCACAAAAAGTTGAAGTTGGCAAAAGGATAACAGAAAAGGTCAAAAGGAAGCTGAAAAGCAAAAAATATATAAATAAATAAAATAAAAAATGAAAAGCTAAAATCAGTTCAATAGAAGCCGAAGGAAGCTGAATTTAGCACAAACAAGAAAAAGCTGAACCTGAACAAAAGGTTTTTAATGATGTTCAAAACAGCTCCATTCATGTTTCAATGAGAAAAAAAAGGTAAAATAAGCCAAATATTTTCAAAAAGTAGAAACTGCTGAAATACCAAAAGACATAGCAGGAATGTCCGGAAGGAGCTGAACGTTTTGAGTATGGGTGCAACAATACATGTACCCGTATCGAACCGTATCAAACAGTGCTTTAGGTTCAACACACACTTGTATGGAACAACACAGATTTTTAACATTTATTTTATCAACTTGTCTTCTGAAGATGCTCTGTGTTGAAGGGTCAGTGGATCTGTGTTCGACTACTCCACCTAGGCTGCATTTTGAGCGCAGATCCACTGAAAAACTTGCTGTTTCAGCAACATTTAATTTAAAAACTGTACTTTTGAGGTTAAACAAATGT